ACCGATTCTGTGGCGACCGCCTGGGCCAGGCCCTGCCGGTTTTAAGGGAAGGGGGTTTGGAAATGGTTTGCCATTGTCTCCTTCCTAGAGCAGAGCCCAGCTGGCGAGCGCAGGAGGCGGGGTTTCCATTGCTTCACGCCTTTTTGGGGCGTGCGCAGCTTCTGCGTTACCGGCAACTGCTCCCATCTCCTTTGCAAGGCACCGCCAGCATTTTTCCTCCCACCAGGGTGAGAGTACCCATTTATCTACTCACGTAACTTTTCAAGCTGCTGAGTTGACAGGAGCTGGGGAGGAAGCAGGAGCTCACTCTGCTGCGAAGAGCTGGGCTCGAACCGCTGAAGTATCGACCATTTCTGGCCAGCAACTTTCAGTGTCATTAAGCCACTGTGCCACCGCGTCCCCATGGTGGTGTCTATTTCCTGACCTATAGTCCTGGTGGTGTCTATTTCCTGACCTGGCCTACCTTGAAGAGCTGACAAAGTATTGTTTTCTTCCAATGCTTCTTTTTCCTCCAAATGTATTTTGTATGGGTGTGGCTGAACATTTCAGTTTTTGTTTCATCTGTAGCCAAAGCATTTTGTTCCCAAGTGCTTTAGCCTTAGCAAGGTTTTCTTCTGCATGTTTTAGACAATGACTTTTGTGATGACATCAGAGAAAATGTTTCCTTCTGATAGCTGTCCCATGCAAATCACTATTGTATAAGGTCTGTGGACAGTAGTCAGCTAAACCTCGCAGAAGGGCGTTTGAGGTGATTTGTGGGTTCTGTTTTGCAGATCTGACCAGTTTTCAGGAAGTACTAGCAACGTTTTTTTTTTCCATCTTCCGGATTTTGCCTTGACTTTGATACTTCCATTTAATTTCCATCCCTTAACAATGTTTCTCGCAGTTGGAATTGGTAGTTGGAAGCATTTAGATCTTCCCCTGCTTTTTAAGAGTGAATGATCTCCATTTTCAGCTGAACTCTGGTAAGACGGAGTGGCTGTGGGTTAATGGCTCCTCTGTATCTGGGACTTTGTCATCGTTAGTGCTGGATGGGATAGCACTGCCCCAGACAGATCCAGTGCGTAATCTGGGGGTCCTCCTGGACTCACGGCTCCTGCTCAAAGAAGTCCCCATTGGGGGGAGATGGGCAGGGGACAAATTTAATAAATAATAATAATAATAACAATAATAATAATTTTCAAATGCTCAGACAGCTGCTTAGAGGAGTCCATGGTTGTTGAAGGTACTACAACAGTCACAACCTATGAAGTTAGAATGGTCAGAATATTTGTTCACCTACTGAACTGATTTCACCTGACTAATTGAAAACCTAATGGGCCTATCATGTTTTGGGCATTATTGACAGTTTTACAGTCAAAACGAACAAAAGAGAAAGAGCAATATATCAACTGAAAATGCATCCAAACTTTCTCATGCCATATTTACTTACAAGTTTTCTTATTTTGGATCTATAAACAACTGTACAAGTGTAGTAAGTATGCATTCAAATTTAAGTAAAGATTCACCACATACAAAATTCTATAGGCTTTGGGATTTATTGAAACATACAATTTGTCCTCAAGCACCTAAACTTCTGTGTACAACTGTAAATATGCATATCTTTCTAAATGAGTATGATAAAATGCCTAACAGACTCTGGGAACATGGACAGGGGAGCAAGATCATTACTGGAGGGAGTGAACTGTTACAGAAAAGATCCCTTAGTCGGGGGGGGGACATGAGGAGCAGTAAGTCTGCCTTAGGTATAAGCTGATCTGGAGAATTGCTTTGGCAGATTTTCAAGATTTTGTTACATTACCTTATTAGCAATAAATTTTATTCCAGAAATCCAAATTGTTCTTGTTTCCTGAGTTTTCCAGCTTCAAAAGGCTTGACTTCAACCTTGATAGCCTGTCAGATTTCCAGATCAACATTAGCGATAATGTAAGGCAATTAAGATGGAGTTGCTCCCTTATATTTTCTGCATCCCTGGAAGTAAGGTTTTGTTTTTTTTTAAATAATGGGTCTAACTCATTCCTCTAATGGTCTTCCTTCCTCCTCCGTATTCCTAGGGCTGTTAGACATTCCTGCACAATCAAACAGTATAGGGACAGCATACAAAAAGAGAAAAGGGGAATTTGTAATGAAATTGGAATTATATACTGGCCTGTAACTCCCCCTCTAGCACACTCAGAAGAAATAAAAGATCATCTCGAGAAAGGTCTTCACCCTTCTTGGAATAGTTTTTTTGTTTCTTGTTTAATTCAGGACTTGTTAGGATAGTGTCTGTTTCTGCTGCATAATTTCTTTTCGTTTGTCTCCTTTTCATCATCTTTTCCTCTCAATCTTCCATACAGATGTCATTTACCGTCTGTTGACAGTGTTTTAATTTGGAAGTACTTTCTTTGTTGTTATTTCCAGGATGCATTTTCAAATACCTGGTGGAGGAAGATGAAAAAGAAAATGTAAAGATACAGAAAAATGTATATAGCCACTTCAAGGAATCAGTTTGGCATGTGGGCTTATAGATCCACATACATTATCTGAATAAATTTGCTAAAAATGCTCACATTTATGCCACAGAATCTTTCAGCAATGGCAGTCACCCATAGGAAGCTAGAAGCTTTCTTACAGAACCTTACTCCATCTATTACAGAGATGCCTAAAGACTGCTAGTAGCTCTCCATGGTTTCAGATGGGTTTTTCTCAGCCCTTCAAATGAGAATCATTTGTACATATAATATGAAGCCTGCCACTGAATTATCGTTTTTCCCCACCTAATGTTGGTGCCCCACCTTTTGGAATGTAACACTGATAAGATTATCACTACAGCCTATAATAAATCTATGCAATGCAATTTCTATGCAGATGTACTTAAAAATAAGATCTACTATATTCAGGAAGCATTGTTCATTGTACTATATGTGTATCTTGGGTGTGGAGACACAGTCTTTTGAATTTATCATAGCCATCTGTTCATAATGCCACCATTTTATATCTCATTTCTTTTCTTTTCTTTTTTTTAAAAACCTCAGTTTTCTACTCTGACTTGACAAGTCCACAATGGCGTTAATGCCAATTTGTTGGTTGGTTGGTTTTTAAAGAGTGACACCATAATAAGATATGAAAAAAAACCAAACCCTCAAATGTGACATAAAAGAAGCCATATAGAATGAGATCAAATGCTAGCTGAAATAAAGATACTTATAATCTAGTTTCTCTTTTTTATTATGTGTGAAATAAAAAGGTATTTGAATCTATGGTAGGTAATCATGCTGTGTGGGTGTTTTGAGAATTGTCTAATTCTAAGAAGCAATACTATGTCATTACATAATACTAAATGACTTTAACTGATTTCAGGAAGCGAAGCTACATCCATCTAAGAAGGGAGATACAAGGGCATCCCGTCTGGGGTAGGGTTTTGCCTGTGCAGTGAAGGGGCCATTGAAACTGTAAAGGATTATTTATTATGTTGCCAGTTTTACACTGGCACATGTTCAGAGATGCTAAGCCCAAACCTAAATAAATATCCTTGTCATTTTTACCAGTTGTTTACAATTTTTACTTTCAAATACACATGATTCTGTTACTCTAAGTGTAGCCAAATTGTGTTGTGTCATATGTAAAATGCACAGCTGACTGTTAGGATTATGTTAATAGGCAATACTAGCTCAATGCAGATAGGCAGAGAAGAAGTGAAGTAGTAACAGACTATCTTCATAGCTCAAAAATCTGTAGGAATTATGACTGACCATGAAACAAAGAAAAGTCTGCTGTATGACAATCTATACAAAACATTTTAAGAGACATAACACTGCCAACAAAGGTTCATACTGTCAAGGCCACGGTATTCCCAGTTGTAATATAGGTGTTGGAGCATCAGAATGGCTAAATGAAGAAAAATGGATGCCTTTGTAGTACTGGAGAAGATTGTGGAGAGTGCTTTGGTAGCAAGAAGAACAGATCATTTAGTACTAGATGAAATAAAAGGTATCACTGGAAGCACTAATAATGAAGCTAATGAAGCTAATGCTTAAATATTTTGGGCACATAATACAATAGCAGATCTTTGGAGCAGACTCTGATTCTCTGGAAAATTAAAGGCTTTTAATTAAAATTTTAATTAAAACATTAAAAATAAAAAGATGTTGGCAGAAGTCAAGAAGGCTAGATACTATAACTGGAATTTCAAGCAAGCTGAACTCAAACTGAACTAAAACTTAATGACAACCCTGGTGAACTGTTTGACATAATGTTACAATAGAAACAACTCAATGAACAACATTTTTCAGTTCCATCCCATTTTAATGAAATGTACATTCTTATTCTCTGTTAAGATTTGTCTAATATAATACAACTCTGGAAGCTTAACTATATCCCACAGTAATACTATTGCATAGAACCTATAAAATAGTTTACGGTCTTAGTCAGAACTTTAGTATTTACTGAGTTTTTCTCAAGACAATTAAGAAGAGAATCTCTTGAAATTAAATAGGCCACCTGCTCAAGACGTAATTCTTTTGAGAGCTGAACCTTTGTATGGAAATGCAGAAATAGTTTGTCAAACATGTAGCTGCTTTCTGAAGTGCTTAATCTGGATCTTCCTTCCCCTAACTGGCAGTTATACAGTACAAGCATTTTGTGATTGGTGTAATGAGTAAAAACCTCTATGATTTAGTAGAGGCTTCATTTATAAATAAAACAAAAAATTTTAAAAAATCAGAATTCATAAAGTGATAATCGCCATTATGCTTTATACCATAATGGAAATCAGTGTCATTCTTTGATTATTCGCTGATGTCAAGTTGCCTGCATTTGGACTTTTCCTAGAACAGCCTTTGCTCTGTATAGAGCAGAATTGGATGATATGGTCACATAACATACGAAGTTTAAATATAGTTAGTAATTTATTTTATCCACTCTGTATGTGCTCACCTATAGGTTAAGATCTTTTGAGGCCATTCTTTGGCTTCATTGTTATCCAAAGTGAAGTAAATGTTTACCAAAAGCAAATGCTAACATGAGTATTTTAAGTTATGAAATGCTCTTCCTCTGAGAAGCCTACCTGGAGTTTACTTTGCCATTGTCTTAGAAACAAGTAAACCCTTTCATTATTTCTCAAGCCTTTATGTCAAAGCTAAGATCTTGCAACTATTTGTGTCTGTATTTTATGTTGATCCCAATTAAGTTTTAAGGCTGAGGTCTTTCATTCTTAAAATTAGGGTTTTTTCAGATATAATGCTTATACAACCCTCCAGGTCTTATGCTCCTTCATCTTCTTCCTGTAAGGATTCCTTCCCAATTTTCATTATATGAGACAAAGTACACTTGCAAATGAGTGATTGGCCCTGGTTTGGAAAGAAATGGAAAGCAAGCAGGGATCAAGTTTGCCTCAAATCAGGAAGAGAGATGAAATTGCTGAATTCAAAGGAGGAGGATTGAGAAGAGGATAGCACTGGAGTTTAAGTGAAAAGCCAGGCTCATTTTTTAAAACAAGACTCTGATTTAGCATTGCATCTGAACTATTTATTACTATTTAAACCAAACACATGAGCTCTTTGTTCTCAATCATATTATCAGACTGACACCTGTCCTGACTGAACTGCAGATATCGTAGAAGTAGGCTCAGAGTACATCATGAGAAATGCCAGGCTGGAAGAATCACAAGCCGGAATTAAGATTGCAGGGAGAAACATCAAC